TACATGTCGTGTTACCAATTTCACATTTACTTATTGTATTTTCTATATAATACAGTTGTAAATTCCATTAAAATAATTTTAAAAAATGTATATTACAATAAAAAAGCACATAAAAAAACTAATTTTCGTAGATAAAAATATTTAGGTTACGATTAAAAAAAGGAGTATGTACCACGTACTATAATAAATTTAATGTTTTGTAATGAAATTGTAAAAAATTAGGAATATAATAGGGAGACAGTGGATTCATCTTAACTAGAAAAACTTTAGCGTGATCTACTCCGGAAATTGTCAAAATAAAGAGGTTATATAGGCCAAACGGCTCAGTATTTTTAAAAGGCCACTTTTTTTCTCGACTTTGTGCTCAAGTTATTTTACGATTAAAGTGGAAAGCAAATGGGTACTTACGAGTTTTTAGTACGTAATAAAATAGACAAAGTTTGCCGTTCTCCAGACTGAGAACGCCCCAATTCCAAGAATTTTCGCAAATAAAATATTTGTAGGTTACGATGAGGTGAAGCTATTTACGAAGTATCAGGCGGGGGTTAATAATTTGTTGGAAAGGGCCTGTAATACGGACTATACCCTTCATAGGTTTTAGTTGTAAAGGTTGATAATAACATTATCTTATATGTGACATGTCACAGGTGAATCTACGGAGGGAGGAGGGGGGCTTTCGGGCTGAAGCCCTCCCCCAAATGGTGAAATATGACCATGTTTTACAGAAACAAATATTAAAAACTACCTCTTAAAGTATTATTGTTCCTGTACATTTAATAGGACTTCAAGAACCACTTAAACACCATTTCATATAGGTAGTTAATTTCTTTCTTTTTTTTCAAATTAATTATCGCTATATGTATATGAAAAAAAAATATTTTGGGCTGAATCCCCCGAAATTAAATTCTGTATCCGCTAGTGCGACATGTCAAGTATATTAAGGAAACAATTTACTATCCAATAGGAGCTGTTTGTAAAAAAAAAATTGTAGAAATTTTTCGGAAAAAAAAATCGTATCTAAACTATGTAACAAGTTAAACAATAATGTATTCTAGAAACGTCAGGATTCTGTCTGAATTTAACCGTTAAACTGTTACAAAAAAAAAAACTGCTGCGTCAGTAGCGCACGCTTTCTAAAAGAATGAAATGCCGAAAATGCTAGGAAGAGATCTGTCCTGGATAGGGGAACAGGGTCGTGCTATTACAGCTCTGGAGGTTGAACTACATGCAGAGTGAGTGCTATAGTAACATTACCAACTATATCGCTTTAGTTTATTAATTAATATAAAATATTATATTATAATAATCAGAAATACAGAGTAACAAAGTTAATATAACAGACTTGTGTTAACTACAATATTACATAGGCATGGAGGAGGAAGAAATGGGAGGCGATCTCGGGCGAGAATATCGTTTCCTTCCCCTCTCCACCCCAAATAATTTGAGGTAAAAATAAAATTAAAATAAAAAGTAAATATGTTATTACTTTCATACCTATACTAGATAAGGAAAGTATTGCGATCGGGTCGAATTTCCTATATGCGGTTTACGACGGATCTATACGTTTCAGAGCCCCCTGCATCCAAAAAACACATTTTTAACCATTGGCCTGTCTGTCTGTCTATGGCAAGATTTTCTCGGGAACTAGAGAACATATTTTGTTGCTTCTTTTTTTATTTTGTAGGGTTTTGTCTACTGATGCCTGTGACACAAATTGGGGCAATAACTGCTGCGCAATAAATGAAAAATATGTTTTCCTATAGACTGTAGCGCGAAAACGGTTTTGACGATTTTGATGAGACTTTCCTATAATGTTCTAATAATTGTACTTTCCATTTTCGTACATTCCCTAAATTCCCGAAAAAAATCAGGAAAAAAAAAGAAAAATGTTTTGGGACCTAACTCGCTAAGTATATATCGTATGTTAAAATTTATAATAAAACTTTTTAAAGGTAATGAAATTCAGTACAAAACTAAATAAAAATCGTTCATTTTGGACAACTATTAACGAAGTTGGGAAAGCAAGAAAATCGGTTGTCCGCATCACACAAGATTCATTATTTCCTCTACTTTTAACAGAAATTATAGTTTGAAAAGATTAGGCTATGGCAACAAGTTTTTGATGAGCAATATTAGAGGGTATTGAAAATTTTTGAACTGATCTACCTGAATCCGGTTTACATTGCTTTATTTTATCAAATAAATCGTACTCAAATCTTTTCTTTCATCTTTTTTCAGGAAAATAGATCTCATTCAATATTTTTTTTTATTTCTTGATGGACATATGTAAAGATATAAAAACTTTTCTCAAATAGGTAGAAAAGTCGTGTGAGTGGTCACTCCAGATTTCTTTTCTTTGTATACATGTAAATAATATAAAATGTACTTGTGTTACTTTGAATACTGCATTATTCAATTAATTATTTGATTACAATAGCAATTGAAATGACAAGAATCACTTTGTATTTTTTCAATCCAGACTAATGAGCCAATTTTTTGTATTATGTATTATTCTTAAGTCCCAGAATAAAATTATTTTTTCATTCAATTTTGAGTATGTTTGTCCAAACATTTAGGCTATTGTTCTGCTAAAAAACAACAATACATAGGAAATATAAATTAATTTGATCCAAAGTTGGCAACTGGAGGTGTTGTAATGTATAATTTTATAAATAAATTTATATATTTATACTGTTATTTCTAAAGATCATTTCAATAAATAATGTTGATTCTTTTCTTTTTTTTTTAGGTGAGTAAAATTTTGGAGTTGAATATCTATCTTGAAATTCAAATTACAGTAAGTGAAATGAATTCAATTTTAATTAAATATTTTTAAGGTTTTATTTTCAAATGGCTTATTTTCTCCATATTAAAAAACTGGTGCGCGCAACACACAGCTTTCACTTACCGCTCTACTTTGAGTAGAAATTATTTTCTGGCAATGTCGGGCTATTATAAAATTTTTAATGAAGCCTACGGCGATTAAAACCTACGACTAACAAATCTTCTGTACATGAAAGCGTATACTTTTTGAGGTATGTAGATCTATATGTTGTATAGATAAATTTAAAGTTCTTCAAATGAAAGTTTAAAGTTTAGCCAAGTTCATTGAAATCGGTACATTCGTTTAGGTGCTACAGTCTATAGCGACACAGTTTTTACGGCCGCCATCTTGAAAGGAAAGGGCAGATCGTAATATCGATGTAAGAGAATCATCACTTTAATGCCCTTTGACATTGATATTAGTCGATCCACATCGGATAAGAGAGATTTTTTTTTATTCGATTTTCGGATTATACGTAATAATAAACTAAATAAATAAAAAAAAGCAAATAAATGTTTCTAATTTCTGTCTATTCTATAATTAATAGTCCATGATTCAGACCCATTTTTATCAAATTATAAATATAAACATCCGTCTAAAACTTCGCAAATAGCATCATCTCATCATAAACTACAAATATTTTATTTAAAAAATTTTTCGGAATTGAAGCGTTTCAATCTGAAGATCGGCAAATTTTGTCTATTTAGTTAGGTACTAAAAACACATGAATACCGATTTGCTTTCCACTTGGATCGTAAGATAATATGATCACAAAGTCGAAAAAAAGGTGGACTACAAAAATATTGGAGTTTTTTTTTAGATTTTGCGATCATATTATCTAACGATTCAAGTGGAATGCAAATGTGTACTGATGAGTTTTCAGTACTAAATTTTTAGTAGTAAATAGACAAACTTTTACAATCTTCAGTTCTAACTTCTCAATTCTAAGAATTTTCGGAAATAAGATATTTGTAGGCAGGGGTTCCCAGAAAGGGATTTCAAATTGTGCCATCAAAATTTTCGAGAGGGACATATTTTGAGAGGTTTTTGAATTTTTGAGGGAGCGAATTTTGACAGGGTTATGTATTTTCGGACCAATGGATAAGGGTAACATATGGAACTGACCTCAACGTGTGTATATGAGTGTATTTATATATAATTTGATTATATATGATAATTCTAACTTAGCTTGCTCTGTTTTTACGAGAGGTGAGCAATAAAATATTTTGGTAGGAGGAATGGTTAGGCTCTTGCGTCATCGATCTTGGAGGTAATGGGCACCCCTGTTTGTGGGTACAGATTTGCATTCCACTTGAATCGTAAGATAATATGATCGCAAAATCTGAAAAAAAAAATAGGTTACCTCGCTGTTTTGAAATTTTGAGGGTGGAAGTCGTCAAGCCTTACGATCCAAGTGGAAAGCAAATTGGTATTCATGAAGTTTGAGTACCTAATTAAATAGACAAAATTTTTCAATCTTCAGATTGTAACGCCCCAATACCGAAATTTTTTGTAAATAAATTATTTGTAGTTTATGATGAAATAAAGCTATTTGCGAAGTTTCAGGCGGATGTTAATAATTTGATAAAAAGGAGGTTTGTACCACGGAGTAAAAGAGCAATAACTAACATCTGAGCAATCCACAAAGCTTAAAATATATTTCTTGCTTTAATTTGTAACTGTGTGGGTGGCTAAAGCACTTTCGCTCAATCTCCACTGGGTTTAGCCCCAGTGACGCGGTTAAGAGAGAAGTGCAGGGATCTCCTGGAATCATGCTTTTTGCTCCACAGTTGGAGAGGCAAGTCTGTCTCGGAGTTTTATTTATTTATTTTTTTGGGGTTATTTTATACTTATTTATTGTATATATCATTATTATCATTGTACACAGAGTGTGAATGTGATATCTGAAAACTATTATGAATGTCCTTTGAGACAGATAGTAATATTTTCAATAAACATATATGAAAAAATAACATTTTGTAACTATTATTTAATTAATTACTGGTCGACGTACGACAGTTGTTCAATCAATTAAACCTCGAAGATCAATTATAACTTGGACTCCCTCGAGCCGCTGAGAGAAGATGGAACACAATAGATTAAGCAACCCAACGAACTCTATGAATTATTTATCCTCTATTGAAAAGGGCGACCGCAAATTAGCGTTAATATGCTCTTAATTCCGTCCCGGTTCTTTTACCTTTTGGAGCGGGACGAAGAATGGAGTCGAGGATTCCATAACGCCCACTGGAGCTGGAGGCTGAAGAGGATAATGACGGAGCGAAGGTCGGTCCATTCCAGGGTCGAGGATGGCAGCAGTAACTGCTTTACATAGTATCAGGTTCTGTACTAGTTAGATAGTAGTTATAGCAGTTACTGGAAGTAGCAGTTCCTTAAGTACAGAAATTTATTGCCTCAGGTTTGAGAGTTGAAGATAACGGATCCTCTGTGGGAGTGACTTCAGAGGTTTCATGAAATTTTGAACAAAAACTATATTATTGTCTAGATAAAATTAATCGTATTTAACTCCATTCGTTTCGGTTCGGTATAGATACAAAAATATAAGCAAATGTGCATCTAATTTCTAACCAAAAAGTTCATTTCATTTCATAGCCTAATCCCGATAGGAAAAGACTAATTTGTATGTCTTTCTTCAGCTGGTCACGTTTTTTATTGACTATGAAGAAATTACACAAAAATCTGTTCAAGTTAATTACAAATTTTGATCAGATTTTATTTTTATTTTTTTAATTATCGATTTCGAACTCTGATTTCTATAATAAAATAATCATGGTTGAAGGGCTTTTGATATAATTTACCTTGAAAAAAATCTTGATATTAATTGGTTGTCTGGATAGCAATGCAAGTTTTCATATTTTTTCATATTAACCCTCGATGTAAGAACTACATACGTTTGACGTATAAATATTTTGTATGAATGTAAATACATAATTATCCTATTTCAAATAAAAATGTTTTTTATCTTCTGTATGGGATGGAAATAATTTAGTCTTTACTATGATGTCAAAGCGTGATTTTCGCATATTTATATACAAAATTCCCAGCCAAAAAATTGGCCAATTCCGAGCGAAAAAAAGAGTTTTTTAAAAATGTTTTCACAGTTTTTATTGAATAAGAAGGAATTGTTCAAGAATTGCTCAAGATAATTGAATTCTAAGAATCTCATCGTAAAATAGACAAAACGTCCTTTGTGAAAACAGTGATTGAATTTACTAAGGCCGATGATAAAAGACATTCGGGAGGTCTAATACGGCCGTTGTACTGCGTTAGGAATAAAGAGATATGCTGCTCATGTATGGGTTCTGTAACAGCAACAGTATAGCGGCCATATTAGACCTCCTTAAAGTACCTTTTATCATTGACCTTAGTGAATTTAATCACAGTTTTATCATAGAAACTTCTGTCTAATTTACGATGGTGTACTCAGAATTTAATTATACTAGTAGGCCGGTACGAAAAATTCGCACAGCATATGGTTTTTAAATGCCAGATTAATAATAAAATAAAATAATGCAACGTATCAAAAGATAAAGAAATCGAATGTTACTTTATCGATAAATATAATCGACAAAGAAAACAAAAATTAATTTAAATCTTCATTTTTCTTTGGAACCAACATGTTTACAAATTTCAGTAAGCTGTAGCTTTGCTAAAAATTGTCCGATTTCAATATTTTTTTTCCCCTTTTGTAGGGAATTTAGTATCTTTTATATAATTATGGGCATAACCGAGAGAAAAGTGTTTAATTTTATAGTTATTCGCAAATAAAGTTTTTGCTTTCTTTTATTACTTGTTTGCCTGAATTTTCGAGGTGATTGGACTATTTTGTCCGCCTGAAGGAGAAGGAAGCCTTCAAAATTAGTGGCTCAATCTTGAGGTTTGGTGAAAAATTGACGATGATATGGCGTGCCGATCAAAAACACCATAAGAAAATAAAATAATGCAACGTATCAAAAGATAAAGAAATCAAATGTTCCTTTATCAATAAATATAATCCAGGAAGAAGACGAAAATTAATTTAAATCTTCATTTTTGTTTGGAACCAGCATGTTTACAAATTTCAGTAAGCTGTATCTTTGCTAAAAATTGTCCGATCTTGATGAATTTTTTTTTCATTTTGTAGCGAATTTAGTATCTTTTATATAATTTTGAGCATAACCAAGGGAAATTTTTTTTTCAGGAGGGGAAGTAATTTTTTTTAAAAGGTAGTCATTTTTTAGTTATTTGCAAATAAAGTTTGTTTTCTTTCATAACTTGTTTGCCTGAATTTTCGGGATGATTGGACTATTTTGCCTTCGAAGGAAGCCTTCGAAATTGGTGGCTCAATCTTCAGATTTGGTAAAGAATTAACGATGATATGGCTTGCCGATCAAAAAAACCATCGATAAATAATATAAACTCCTCCTCTCTCGATCATAGAGACCTCAAGTCGACGAAATGAGACATGTATTCAATGACAGCATTACAATTAATGTAAGGTTGTGTGGATGCGAACCCTACCACCGTTCAGGTATTCAAGCCAAGCAAAATGTTTGTAACGACTTATTTTAGACGAATTTATTTTAGAAAGAAAAACAAAAGTGAAAAATACGATTCACTAACTCCCCGTGAAATTCTGAATCCAACGGTACCCCATTCATGGTATTTGAGCATGACATGAGCTTATATTTGGTACAAAACCGATTTCGAGGCTTACTGTAATAATGTATGTACGGATAGAACAGTTAATGAGGAATTCCTTCTTATTAAATAAAAAATCTGGCGAGCGCAACACACAACTTTCACTTACCTCTCAACTTCAAATAGAAATTATTTTCTGACCATGTTGGGCTAGCTTTGGTTTGAAATGGCTTTAACTAATATTGAGTTCACTGAGTAATAAGGTTCACACTTTACTTAAGGATGACATCGATAGTCGTTATTATCGATATATCGATATTTTCCTCTACTACACACTACACACTACTATAGAAATAGGAAACAGCCAAGATGAGTTGTTTTTTCTACCGATGAGATTCATATATAATAACGCTAATTTTTATTTTTAAATTAAAATAACCCCCCTACCAGACTGAAACGACTACAAACCGCCCGACGTTTTCGACTACTGCAGCACTTACTAGACAAACGCTCTAAGCTTTTAATCAATTACAAACGACTCATATATAAGACAATAATAAAACCTATTTGGACTTACGGAGTTGAGCTTTGGAGCTCCACTAAACCATCGAATTCCTCTCGTATCCAATCCTTACAATCCTTCGTAAAATCCTCAACGCTCCTTACATTTTCACAAATAACATCATCCATAAAGACCTTAATGTTCCATATGTTTCCGATTTGGCCCAATCCAGATACCTATCCTTCCATAACAAACTGCAGAGACCATCCGAATCCTCTCGTTTCAAACCTTGCTTCCTCCTCGATCCCTGATAACCCTCCGAGGCGTCTGAAAAGAAGATGGCCTCGGAACCTTCTAATATAGAACTTTAATTTGAGTTCTACCAATTGGTAGTTTCCCTTCATGTTGTACATGTCATGTTACCAATGCCACATTTACTTGTTGTATTTCTCATGTAATACAGTTGTAAATTTTTATAAAAATAAAAAAATTGAAATATCGAATGGACGATATCGACAGTCGATAATATCGAAGTTGATACAATCGATGATAAAATATCGATCCCTGCATCTATGTGCACTGGCTGTTTTCATACACCGTGAGGTGGTGCAGTAGATTGAGTAGGGTCGGAGCTAGTAACTGCCGTGTAAGAACAGGTAATAGCCTATACGATAGTTACAGGTGCATAATCGATAGGTAATAGCCTATTCGATAGTCACAGGTGCATAATCGATAGAGACCGAATAATTCCTTTATCTGATTGTTGCTGACTGTTCTACTGCCGACACAAGGTGCCCGTAGGTAGCGGAACTAATCTTTAATTTCCTCGAGCTTACAGCTTCCAGCTCCTATCCTCAGTATTCCTTCTCATTTCTCTAAAGGACTATAGTCACTTTAAGGAATGAGTTGTAATTATTTTTTGTTTGTAATATATTAGGTAAATTACTGTAATATAATAAGGTGTCCCGTAAGTAGAGAGAAATATCTAAAAGGCTAATATTCAATATCAATATCTACAAAACGTTTATATAAATAATTCCACAATTTCCAATATAAAAGTAGAATTTTAGAATTTTTACCTTATATTTTTTTTACATTATTTCTTTTTTTCGATTTATTTTATTTTGGCCAGATGTAATATATTAATTTTGTTCTATTCTGGTATTCTCCAGGGACTGTGTCCCAGAATAAAGTTATTTTTCTATTTCTATTTCTATTTCTAAAAGTAGGAAATTTAAGATTTGTGTTTTTAAAGTGAGTCAAATTTTTTAATGAATAGTAAGCGATAACTAAAAAACTAATTTAAGTAAAGTAATTAACAATTTCTCCATATTGAACTATTGGATGAAGCCATTGACGAAGTTTCAGGTAGATGTTAATAATTTTATAAATAGGTATCTTCACCACAGACTATTAATTATAGGACAGACAAAAATTATAAACATTATCATTCTGAAAATTTGAACATCTTGAATAAGTTTATTTGCTTTTTGGTTTATTATTTTCAATAATGAACCTTTGTAATCTACTAAGAAAAAAAAATTGCGGTCGCCCTTTTCCCTTTGCGTTGCTTAATCTGTCGTGTTCCATTTTCTCTCAGCGAATCAAAGAAGTCCTAGTTATAATTGATCTTTGAGATTTAATTGATTGAACAATTGTCGTACGTCGGCCATTTATTAATTAAATAATAGTCACAAATTAAACAAAGAAATATATTTTAAGCTTTGTGGATTGCTCAGAATTTATTTATTGCTCTTATGGTCCGTGGTACAGACCTCTTTTTATCAAATAGCTTCATTGCGTCTTAACCTACAAATATATTATTTCCTAAAATTCTTGGAATTGGGGCGTTTTCAATCTGGAGATCGGCAAACTTTTTCTATTTAATTAGGTACTGAAAACTTGAATTCTAAGATAATATGACTACAAAATCTAAAAGAAAAGGTTAGCTTCAAACATTTTTTGATCCGTTTGGGCCTACAACCTATTTATGTAGAACACCTTTTTTTCTACTTAGTGATCATATAATCTTACGATACAAGTGGAAAGAAAATGGGTATTTAAGAGATTTTAGTATCTAATTAAGTAGACAATGTTTGTCGATCTCCAGATTAAAAACGTCCGAATTCCGAGAGTTTTTGTAAATATAATATTTGTAGGTTATGATGAGATGAAGTTATTTACGAAAGTTCAGGCGTATGTTAATAATTCGATAAAAATGGTCTGTATCATGGACTATTAATTATAGGACAGACAGAAATTAGAAACATTATCATTCTGAAAATTTGAACATCTTGGATAAGGTTATATATAAATAAACTTCCTGAGGTCAGTTTCATGTGTTACCCTTATCCATCGATCCGAAAATTCATAACCCTGTCAAAATTTGTCCCACTCAAAAATTCAAAAACCTGTCAAATTATGCTCCTCTCGAAAATTTAGATGGCTCAGCTTGCAATTCCTTTCTGGGCACTCCTAACTACAAATATCTTATTTCCGAAAATTCTTAGAATTAAGGGGTTTTCAATCTAAAGATCGGAAAAGTTTGTCTATTTACTACTAAAAATTTAGTACTGAAAACTCATTACTACACATTTGCATTCCACTTGAATCGTAAGATAATATGATTGGAAAATCTAAAAAAAAAGTTAATTTAAAAAATTTTGTTTCGTTTGGGCTATACAACCTATTTATGTAGGCCACATTTTTTTCGACTTTGTGATCATATTATCTTACCATCCAAGTGGAAAGCGAATAGTTATTTACTAGATTTTAGTATATAATTAAATTGACAATGTTTGCCGATCTCCAGATAGAAAACCTCCAAATTCCAAGAGTTTTTCTAAATAAAATATTTTGCAGCTCAATACAATTTTGCCACAATGGAATTCTCCAATTTGAAGCTTTCACTGCTAGTACAATCAGAAAATATTCACTAATTACAGACACTTCAGATATTCTAAATGTAAGTAGGTACATGTAAAAAAAATATATACGAAAATTTTATCCCTACAGCATCACTTCCAAATGAGAGGTGGTTTGATGGATTTACGATGTCATCGATGAGCTCATCGGTGCCTATATACATGTAGCTGCTACAGGACCACGCATTATAAACTATTAACATCAGCCTGAAACTTCATGAATTCTCGGAATCGGGGGTGTTTTCAATCTGAATATCGTCAAACTTTGTTTATTTAATCAGGTACTTAAAACTTGTAAATACACATTTGCTTTTCAATTGGTTTGTAAGAAAATTTGGTCACAGACTCAAGAAAAAAGGGGACCATCAAAAGGCATTTTTTTTTTCCTATTGGTATTTACGAGTTTTTAATACTTAATTAAATAAATGGAATTAAGTATGAATGTTTTTCTTTTTATTTGTCTATTTATTTCTATTACTCATATTTTATTTATTTTTGTTACGAATTTCTGTATTTTATTTAATTTTATCATTAAGTTACATTAACTTGTTTTTATTAAAGTTTTTTCCTTGTTATATAGACATATATTTTTTTTGTTTTGTAGATATTGTATGAATGAGCTTCAATCAGCTATAGTACTCAGTGCCCTTAAGTATGGCGAAATGTATTATTTACCAATAAAAAGATCTTTAAAAAAAATAGACAGAGTTTGTCGAACTTCAGATTGAAAACGCACAAATTCCGAGAATTTTTGTAAATAAAATATTTGTAGGTTATGATGAGATTAAGCTATTTATGAAGTTTTATACCGATGTTAATAATTTAATTTTAAAAAAGGGTCTTTACCACGGACTATAGTAATTAATATTTTTTTTTCAACATATTTATTGAAAAATATTACAATCTGTCTCAAAGACATTTATAATAGTGTTCAGAGATTACATTCACACGTACTTAAATGTATAACAAAAATAATATATATATATATATATATATATACTATATATATATATATATATATATAATATATATATATATATATATATATAAATTAAAAATAAGAATAAAATAACCTAAAAGTTAATAAATAAAAAGATACATGCCTAATTATAAAATTAGAATTAATAATAAAAATGTAACTAGACATCTTTCGTCAAGCTGAAATTACGGTGGCCTGTACCCTTGAGGTGGTGGAGGATAGGAGCCTCCCAGGGAGGTCTGCAATTATCGCTAATTGTGAACTTTTTGCAGCACTCGGGCTGTGCAGCAGCTCAACGAGCCTTCAATTCAGATATTATCACCTTTCCACCGCTTCGTGTAACGACTCCCCTCTTCCTATAGTAATATCTTCCCTTCCTACAGTAATATCCTCTATACTGCTATAACGCGATAGGTAATTATTACTGAGTATAATCCTAGCGAGCAAAAAATGAACCAGCAGAGTATATTATTACTTCATTATTCCATTACTTCTACTATAGTCTTGAATCTATCTGAGCTATCAATTAAGACATATTGACAACTTCGCTGGCGTGGAAGTGAATATAATGTCAATGGTAGGCGTGAAGAGAGAGAGGAAGCGGAGTATATCAGTGAGTTAGGCACTGGGCAGCTAAGCTCAAGCTTTTCATCAGCAAATGTAAATAAAATGAAAATATATCTTATTATCCTAGGACTGCTGTACCTTTAGAACAAATTATAAGTACAGAATACATATATGTGTGGTCATAAATAAAGTAAATATATACACACACACACATATATATATATATATATATTGATAAATTTCTATACAAGAAATTTAAGAAGAGATTAAGGTTAAGCTGAAGGTGAGAAATACTTGTTATTTCTTTATTTCTTTTAGACTTTGCAGGTCTTCTTCAGGGAGGTGTGTTCAGCTAGGAGTTTCACTTAGAACTCGACCATTATATGGCACTATTTAGTCTATTTATGACCGCCACCCCGGACCATCTCCTTCCTTTGTTTTATCTTATCCTTCTATGAGAGATCCCATAGATTTAAACAGCCCAAAGGCTAAAGGAAAACGAGCTCGGGGTCTTATTAAATTTGAAGTAGAAAATACCAATTAACAATTTAATAATAGAAAGATCAGATGATCAAAATTGATCTAAATTTTAAAATCTTCATAATAAACGTCTAAGATGGCAAAAAATATATCTCCTCGTAGATTTCACAGATGATCTAGCAAAACAATATTGGCCTCTGCTTTCTCAAAGTGATTTAGCCATCTTGAGGTAGAAATCACTTTAGACAAGAAGGATATAAGAAGTAACTAATTGTGCCTTAGTAGGATAGCAAAATGGAGTGTGACTGAACGCTGTTGATAAGAAGGCGTCTCCAACAGTTCACTTCTCCAGCTAACCTCTATTAGAATACGCCGCCGACCTACTTATACATTCTAGATCAATTCTTATATATGACTTTTTGTTTATTTTCTGAAACTGTAGGATAGCATTGTACAATGTTTCCACGCCAAAAAAAAAAAAAAAAAAATAGACTGTTCTTGAATAGAAATGAAGTATCATCAACATCAAGTCTTTGAAATAGACTTATTATTTGTGTCTTGCTTTTTTTAAAAAATATAATATATTTCTGATGTAAACACTCGTTATAAGCACAATAGTACGAAAAATAATATATGTTTGTCTTTTACATAACGGGAATTTCTCGCACTTACCACCTTACTTAAATAATTAAATACTAGTTGGCTCGTGTGAATAATTCGCAGAAAATTTTGTTTACTGAAAAAATAGTAAAACAATATGGAAATAAGTAGTTCGTATGTATTATGTTAGGAAGGAAATAATATTTTTTCCTTAGTCGATTACAATATTCCATTAAACATAATAGAAAAAAATATTTGTACAAATTGTTTTGCTAGGACCTATTTTTAAACACTGGCTGTAATAAAGGGAAAATAATTCCCTGATCATAGGATTTTCTAAATTTTTTTTTGGTTTAATTTTTTTATTCACACCTATCATAATGGTAATGACAACCAGTGAATGTGAGGTCGTTGGAAAAAATAATGTCATGAAAGGCATTACGAGGATCAGTGCCCAGCGGCACCTCACTTGGCGTGATATCTACATTAGGCGAGGAGGTCCCTCATCCAGCTCCTCTTCAGTCTTCTACAGAAGTTACCTGGCATATTCGTAGTGGCCATGTCATTTTTAAGTGTATTAGGATCTCCTTGTAAGTTGTCATGAAATCGTTTGTAATCTGTTCGTTAACAGTCGGCATATGGAGGTCAGTATGTAAGGTTATGTTGCTAACGTACCAAGGTGCTTTTGTAGTTAATTATTATTAAAAAAAAAAAAATTAAGAACAACCAAATAAAAAAATTAATATATCGGCCAGGAAAAAAAGTGTAGTAGACTATTCTACTCCTAAATGCAATAACTTTAAACAGGAAGACATTATTAAGTATACCAAAACTAATGAACTGTATCTTTGTTAATAATTGTCCCATTTTTTTTTGTAGGTAATTTAGTAATCTTTCTAATTATCATGGGTACAATGAAGAAAAAAAATGCATACTTTTTGAGTTATTCGCAAATAAAGTTTCTTTTCCTCCATAACTTTTTTTCCAGAAATTTCGGTAGGATTGGACTATTTTTCAGATGTGAAGGAGAAGAATATCTTTAAAATGAGTGGTCAATCATTGGATTTGATGGAGAATTGACGAAGTTATGGCGTACCGACAAAAAAACACACCTTTTAGAAATAATATATAGGATGTGCTCAAAAAGGATTATAGCTCGACCATTTATTGTATGGCAGCATGAGGAAAAACTTATACAGTACTAAGTTGAAACTAACACTTTTTTTCTAATTTTATTATATTTTATACTGTAGAGTATGGGAGGGGAGGGGAGTCTATTCTTGTTTAAAGTCTCTTTTCCACCTTTCAGCAGCGAATGATTTTGATAAATGATGTGTCGAAAGATACTGAATTTCATAAAGAAATAACGAAACCAGATTGGAAATATATAATCGGCTTATAATAAAAATGTCAGTACTCAGTGGACGCGAAATTTGATGCTCCACAAATTTCATTCAATGAGATTTTCCTCTTAGAAAATTCATTTCCAAGTTGCAGGACCATTTATAGTAATTTGTCTCACTTTTTCACAAATTTGTTAACCAAATTATTAAGTTTTTGTACTCGTTCTACGCACAAGTGAACGTTCTGTAATTTCTTAAAGAATACATTTTTCGCTTCGATGCATCGTTTAGGAGTTTGTTTTTTTATTTATTTATTGAGTATAACAACAATCTGTCTCTTGGACATTGGTTATAGTGAGGTAGGATAACATTCACACTATATGTACAAAAAATATAAAATAAACAGAAGCAAAATAATAATCAAAAGTATATACAATAAATAATAAAATAAAATAACCTAAAAACACGAAAATTAAAACCAAGCAAAACAACACATGCATACCTATATACACCATTTACATGTCGTCTAGTATATTCTTGTCTTTTTAATTTGGTATGTATGTCCTAAGTAAGTCTTTTGTCTAAATAGAGTCCAAGGAACCGTACATAATTCTTTGAAGGCACTAGGTTATCGTCAATCGAGAAACTAAGGTGGGTGGATATTTGCTATTATTTATTTTGATTTTCCATTTTTCAAACTACTTTTCAAGATCATGGAAGTAGTAGGATTTTTTTGTGAAGATAATAGCAGTGTTGTCAGCGAAGCAATAAATGGTGGATCAATTTTTTTTTTCTTAGGAGTTTCCACTAATAGTGAGTTTCCTTAACATGAACCTTGGATTGCTGTTTTCCATAATGTCCTATCTTTTTTTTTTTTTTTTTTAATGAGTATTACAAAAATCTATCTCTTGGACATTGGTTATAGTGAGGTAGGATGGACATTCACACTATATGTAAAAAAAAAAAAAAATAATAAATGGAAACAAAATAATAATCAAAAGTATATACAATAAATAATAAAATAGAATAACCTAAAAATAAGAAAATTAAAACTAAACAAAAAAACACATGCATACCTATATACAATCAGGCGAGGGAACTCCAGGAGAACCCTGCGCTACTCTCTCAACCGCATCACTGTTACTAAAGCCAACGGAGATTGGTCGAGAGCTCTTTAGCCACATACACTCAAGTGTTGAGTGGAGAATTTGGTGGAGGAGTTTTAGGTGAAAAAACAAAAAAATTTCGAAACAATTTTACTTTTTTGTCTGTAAACAGTTTTTTCTTAGTGGCTCGTGTCAGAAATTTTGTTTTTTAAATGTCTAAAACTATATAAATATAAGTTTAAAAAAATACTTTTCTAACATTGTTCGCAATGGATTTCCCGTTTCGTTCCTCTAGGTTAGGTTAGGTTACGAGTTGTCCTATGTGATCAACAACTTGGTCATTACGCCCTTGAGCTATGATGTTATCATTTGTAACTTATCTTTCTGAATGCAAAAAAAAAGCTTCTTTTTATGTATTTCTTTAATTGTTGTATTCTATGGTAAAATTAAGTTTGTTTTAAAAGTTTTATAATGTTTTCTATTGAATTTACAGAGTCTTTTAATACTAGTTCTCTACAACGGGGTATTTTGTTTTTTAGAAAGGCTTGATGTAGTAATGTACAATCATCTATTATATTCATTATGGTTAGCGAGGACTGGCAGGTATCGCAATATGGTTGGCCCTCTTTTGTTATTAAATGGACATGAGTCAGGTTAGTATGTATTCGATCCTCTAATTACTGGACCAATATTCTTTAAATCAGCCGCCATTTTTTAAAGCAGCGGCTCTGTAACGGCAGATAAGATACTTTTTACTCAGAATAACATACACTTTCGTAATTTACAATCAAACCATTGCCTGCAGTGATATCGAGTTTTGGGCTAGATAAAATACACTATTTATTTTTAGTTTTCATTGTGTCTACAACCCCGGTCTAACTTCCCAATCATATTTTATATTTAGGTAAATGAAAGTAGACAAAAAAATGTTGCAGATTATTTCACAATGGTTTATTATTTCCAAACAATTATACATCTATAGTAACATTACCTTCCTAATTACAAAAAAAAAAACTAAATAAAAGGTGATTCTAATTATTCGACTGATTGGTTTTTTAATCATTAGTAATATGCTGAACAAATTAGCATTACTTCAGTAAAACATTCAAAATTAAAAAAAAAAAAGGATATAACCTTTGTAGTAGAACATACAAAAAAAAAACTGGAGACCATATCTTTACTCCTAATTGTCCGATTTTTTAGAAAATTCTGTAAATTTTTAAAAAACCAATAAATATTACCAAAAAAAGGGTATACTTTTTGAATTATTCGGAATTTAATTTTACCATCACTTGTAACTTTTTTTCCAGCTTTTTTTCGTTGAAGTATGTTATATAGATAAATTTAAAGGGCGCCGAGAAAATGACTTTAGCGAAGTTTCATTGAAATCTGTACATTCGGTTAGGAGCTACAGTTTAAGCAACGCAGGTTTTTCGGCCGCCATTTTGAAAGTAAAAGGCGGATATTAATGACGATGAATGAGGATCATCCTCGGGTGAGCTTTGATTTTATATCCAAATTTGAAAAAAAATCGGTCCAGTAGTTCCGGAGAAAATGCGTGGACAGCGGATTTTGAGAGGGGGTTAAGTTTTTGGTCGATCACAATGTTTCAATATTGAATAATACCCAAAATACTAGAACTACTTACATCTTACAATGACCTGCTTCTATCGGTTATTTTTTTATTATTTACAAGCGATTCAGTTCCCTCCCCTGAAATTATAGAAGTTCCTTGGTCCATCAGATCAAAGGAGGCCAAGGTGTTTCGACATCGCCGGACCTCCTGGAAGAACAAGAAGTGGAGTTGCGTGTACCAATCTTCAGCTCATCTATAGCTACTGCTATATAGGCTGTATATAATTAGCGTTCCTATTTCGGGTGTCTCTTTGAACTAATTATTACCTGGAATCCTCCATGTTACAGACTCAATGTCACTTCTTTTATTTCTCTTCGACGAATACCTCTGGCCGATTTTTCACCTTATCACCCTGTATAACTCCCTTCTAAATGCAAATATTCAAAATATTAAAATCAAAAAAAGAAAAGAAAAAAAAATCTGTTGTGCGTATCTTAACAGAAATTATTGTCTAGAAAAATTGAGCTATTTAAAAATGTTTTTGAAATTTTTAATGAAGCTAATTTTTTGAATTTCGGACGGTACTTGTGAGCGACGCGGCCTCTATGGATTGTTATCTGCAGTTATCTTGTTAATTAAAGTGTTGTTGTTATTTATATTTCTTATTATTTCTGTGCCATTCAGGTAACAGGGAGCAGGAGATACAAAGAACCAGAAGATTGGAGTGATTGTGGGTTGAATAATGAAAAGTAGTGTATTTGTTGTGGATGTAGGATTTTACTATGTTTAAGCCGTTATGTATAGTATTATTTGAAATTTACCAAGGTGCGTTAACAATTTTTCGTAGAATTTTTGATGGTGCTGTTTGTGTGTGTTTGTTTTGCTGAACCCTGAACCCTGTTTTGCTGAAAAGTTCTGCTCCATATGTCTATATTGGTCCCAGTAGAGTGTTGTAGATCAGTCGCTTGTTTTTTTAAGTTAAGTGAAGATCTGTAGTCCAGAAGATGTGAGAGTTGGCTATATCGTCTAGTATATTCTTGTCTTTTTAATTTGGTGTGTATGTTCTAAGTAAGTCTTTTGTCTAAATAGATTCCAAGAAACCGAACATAGTTCTTTGAAGGCACTAGCTTATCGACAATCGAGAAACTAACGTGGCTGTTTATTTGCTATTATTTATTTTGATTTTCCATTTTTCAAACCCGTTTTGGTGGTTTTTTTGTGAAGATAATAGCAGTGTTATAATCGAAGCAATAAATGGTGGATCAAATTTTTTTTTCTTAGGATTTTCCACTAATAGTGGGTTTCCTTAACCTAAACCTTGGATTGCTTTTTTCCATAATGTCCTATCTAAGGTCCATTATTCCCGTAGACCATGACCTATCTTGGATTCCTCCACTTCGTTATCCTAGGTCTTCCTTGTCTTCTTCTTTTCCTATTTTTCCATAAGTGGACTTCTTTGAGTAGTCTTCCTCCAGGCATTCTTTTCAAAAGTCTTTACCAGTTCAGGCGTTTTATCCCAATCTCTTCCAGAATTATTTCATAATGCTTAGTACTATACTATTGTAGATTTTTTTTTTGGGGGGGGGGAGAGATAATGTTCCGGTCCCATAATACCGAGTTGAGCATTGATATGGTCTTTTTGCTATCTGGAATTTTTCTTTTTATTTCCACATCACATGCACCATCTATTTCAGTTATTTTATTAATAATCTATTTATTGAATAATAATACAATCAGCCACTGCTGTAGTGCTTTAAGTATTAGGGCTAAAAGTTCTCATTCATACAATATATACAAATAATAGAGAAATAAATATAAATATAAAAAGTAAATAAATAATACTGATGAAGAAAGTAAATAAAAAGAAAAAAAAAAAGAGTAGACAAATAACATAAAATAGAAACTTCTAAACACAATCATACAATATATACATTCGCCCAGGAATCTCCGAGCCAGGCCTTTTCCCCCATGTGGAAGGCAAAGAAAGACTCCAGGAGATCCCAGTGCCACTTTTCCAGCCGCATCACTAGTATTAGAAGCCAGTGGAGACTGAATGAGGGCATTAGAGCCACAGACGCTCAGGACATGAGTGGAGAAGCTGGCCATTGCTAGGACTCCAGAAGCATCTCTGGGTCACTGGGTCCAGAAGCAGCTAGCACAAGAGATCTCTGGGTCACTGCCGTTTTAACCTTCTAGGAGGATCGTAGGGATGAAGGGAGCTGGAAAGGGCTTGGAGATTGAGCTAGAGGATTTGGATCATGGATAAGGTTCTGGTGAAAGTTTGAGAATCTGGATGGGATGATGTCGAGGACAAATAGGATGTTAAGATCATGGTGTAGGGTCTTATTTGTGACATAATATGGTGCATTGACTATTGTTCTAAGTACTTTGGACTGGAAGGATTGGATGCGTTTGATATTCGAATGTTTAGCAGTTCCCCACAGTTCAAGTCCGTAGGTCCAGATAGGTTTCAATATGGTCTTGTAGATTAAAAGTTTATTTTCAATCGGAAGATGAGATGTCCTACTTTATTTCAGTTATAGAACCAAGATATTTAAAATGTTTAATTCTTTTTAAAACACATTCTGGATTCAGTTCTATATCCTCATTATTTAATGGCATGTATTCCGTTTTCACTGTTGATATTCCTCATTTAATTTTCTGCGTTCTGTGCAATGATGAACTGGTCATCTGCGAAGGATAGGTTATAAAGGAACACCTTTTCTTTCAACTGAATCCCCATGGGTTCGCCATGGATCAATTTTAAAGTGTTAAATAAAAAAAGAAACCATAGAGATTCTAAATAACCAACGGAGAAGTTTATAACTATAATTACGGCGGCAAAAGCAAAAAAAAAATGCCTTAGCTATGTCCATTTCTGGTGGGCTTACCCTAGTTAGTTCATTGTAAATGAGGCAGACTATTAAGTAAGTATTCTAGTATCATTGTATTTTTTTATACAAAAGAGAAAGCTAACACAAACTAAACAAGATGGCTAGATGACAAATAGCTATTCGAGTCCTTCCAAAAGAGGCCAGCACGAGCCAACCATATGTCGATATGAAAAAGTGGAACCTCTTTGGCTTCGGAGATATCTGCGTGTGGTCGCCATCTGGTGGCTGTCTTGTCAACTGTTAATTGTTCGAGTGTCAACACGTAGGTTACCATGGTGAAAGCAATATTAGCGTCTTATCAACATAGAGAAAATCGAGGGTATATTTTTATGTTAATTTGTTTAATCTGTGCACATTTTCGAAATATTTCAAGTAAAAAAATGAAAATGTTTGTTCATTGCACCGTTAATAAAAAGAACGAAAAAGTCTCAAGTCCAAAGAACGAAATCGAATAGAAATATAATCATCTTTATGAAAAAAAAAATATACACTGACAGGCAAAAAATTCCACACTCTTGATTTTTTCATGTTTTCATCTAAAAATATTTCTGCCACTTGTAAAAAAAGTTGTATTTGTATATAATACATGGTATTTGTAGACAATACTTAGTATTTATGGAATTTAATAATCTTTTTTACCTTTAATAATCAAAATGTGATCGGGTAAGAAAGATTAGAGAAAAAAAAATTGAAAAACGAACCATTATTATTCTAAAAGAAATTAATTACATCATCGTTTAGTAGCGCGTGTTTTCTCCTCTTGCCTTCACTTCTTCTTGAAGACGCCTACTTTCCACCAGTCGGGAAATGTCCCTTTGCTGGAGGATAGCCCATTCCTCCCGAAGAGCCCTTTCAAGGTCCTGCAGTGTATCAGGAAGTGTTGCACGCGCTCTTATTCGTTTTCCGAGGTATCCCATAAATACTCAATGGGGTTCAAATCTGGAGAACGTGCTGGCCTGGCTAAAACCTCAATATTGTTCTGTTGAAGGAACATCTGCACTATACGTTCGTACCTGGGTTTTTGAGAATTGAAAGTTAGTGTCGTACCACTGAGCTACCTCTCTCCCTAAAATATCCTTTTAAAAATTATTATAATATTATATTGTTTATTTATTTGGTATGAGCCATATTCGGTGTTACGAATGATATTATTGTTATTATGGCTTTCAGTATCAGATTCCAAATTTCAAATTGTGTATCTATTTACATCTAAATAGATCTTTGTACCTATCTAAATATTTATTTGTACAGGCGTGTTATTTGACAAATAAAATAAATAATTCATTAATTTTTTATTTGTAATATCTCGAATCTAGTGAAAAAATACTTATAAATTAGACAGTGACGTACTTTGGATGGTTGAATCGAGACCTGCATATTAGACCGACTGCCTACTAGTTACGATATAACAATGAATCGATTGATGGAATTAATCGATACAAGTGTCAGTTTCGATGGACTGTGGGAGCGACATAGCCGAGAGCTGATGGAAAGCGGCAGATCGTGGAACCGCCAGGCTACGTGACTCGGGGTCGACTCTCGCCACCTCTGAATAATCTTCTCGCTCCATCTCATTTATTTATCGTCCATTTCTTTTTCCATCAAACCTTCGGCCATCCTCTGCTCATCTTCACCTCCGCGCCTTCTGGCCGCCAATCTTCGCTAATTGGCCTTCCCTGGACTGCTGTCTCTAATTCGTGGTACCGACCCCTTTTTATCAAATCATTAACGTCCGCATGCATATAGCTGCTACAGAACTGAGGAATAGTCCATAGTACAGACCCATTTTTTTTTCAAGAATGAAACTTCTTGAATAGCTTTTAGAAAACTGCATAACTGTAGTTTACATATATTCTGTTGTAGCTCATATTTTATCAACATATTCAAAATAAACTGAACGAAAACGTAGTTCGGAAAATTTTTGAATTTCTTTAAAAATCTATATTATATATCGCGCGTTATTGTCAATTCATACTTTCATATGAGCCTTTCAGTTGACAGAATGACTAATTCTAATTTCAACATTTTTTATTGAAGTCATTTTAGTGATATTTGTTGATGGAAAATTTATAATGTCTGTACAGATAGTTAGTAAGTTGATTCCAGAGTAGATGTGTTGAAATATAGAACTGTGAACAAAGGTATAAATTTTCTGACTAGAAATATCACTAAAATTGATAATAAAAAATGTTGAAATTAGAATTAGTTATTCTTTAACTGAAGAATCATATAATTATAATCATTCTTGTTATCGATTAATAACCATAATAAGAGAGAAATGATCCTGAGAATAAGAAGTGTGTTGTCTTCATTACGGTCCGTCCTGTTTTCTTTTTATGTGTAAAATAAAATATAGCACGGTCATCAAAAACTTTTTATTTTTTTTTAATATTATATATGTGGCTGTGTGAGAGGCGCTGGGATCTTCTAGAGTCCTGCCTTTCCTTCCACGAGTGGATAGAAAGGCTTGGATCGGAGATCTTACGTGTATTTAAGAAGTTATTTTGATAAATAACTAGTTAATAGTTTATTTTTGTTTTGTTTAGTTTAGTATCTTTTAGTTTATATAAATTTGCTTTTAGTATTATGCTTATTTATTTACATTTATTGTGCATAGTGTGAATGAACTACTCTTTATCACTATTAGTATTCTCCTAAAATGTGGCATGAGATAGTAATATATCTTAATAAAGAAGATTAGTTATATATATATATATATATGTATAAATAATATTTTTTAGTTATATATATACAAAGATTTGTTAGAGATAGCATGCCTTGGGGAAATATCTCTCCGAGAGCTGAGATAATCATAGCGCACCAGTGAGGTAGGAGAGACCTGCAGATTTAGGAGGCTGCGGGTCAGTCGTGAACGAACGGTCTATAATTCGCTTAAGGAACACGCGATCTCTTTGCCACCTCTGCTCCCAGTGAGGGGAAGGTCCTGTGTACGGGTTCGTGTCAACTTAGTATTGTGAAATAGCTGTCTCTAGTCTACGTGGAGCGGTCGGATATTTATTGAGGAAAGGAAAATATAGCTTCGGAATTGAAAGTTGGAAAGTTTACAGGAAGATATATTTAGGTCGATCTAGCACACTATTGAAATTTATTAGATCATAATTTAATCGGATTTTGCCATAAAGAGGAGTGTATAAACAATGAAATATTCAAAATAATCTAATGAATTATTTCATTAGAATCATCAGGCGCTCCCACGTCAGGAAAAATTCCTAAATCAGTAATGAGTGCATAATTTGTTGGAGCGTTAATTGGCTGTTGTAAATTTTTTTTTTCCTACCTTTACTAGGTAAGGAAAGCAATCGGGTCAAATTTCCGATATGCGGTTTTCGACGGATCTGTACGTTTCAAAGCCTTCTGGGTCCGACATACACATTTTTAGCCATTGGTCTGTCTGTCTGTGCCAAGATTTTTTCGGGAACTAGTAAACAGGTTTTGTTGCTTCTTTTTTTTATTTTGTAGGGTTTTGACTACTGATGCCTGTAATATAAATAGAGTGCTCCATACACAATAGCTTGGGCGCAATACATGAAAAACATGTTTTTCTATGGATCTATATGTTTCTGAGTCCACATTTAATTTTTTTTTTTTTTAGTCGTTCATTTCGGACAACTATTAACGAAGTTACAGCTATTCAGTTTCCAATGTAAGATTACGGGTACATATCCTGGTGTCAGAAAAGGATGAATGAGAGGAAAAAGGTAACTAAGTGAAAGTAAGAAAATCTGTTGCCCGGATCACACAAGCTTCACTATTTCCTCTACTTTTGTCAGAAATTATTGTTTAACAAAATTAGGCTATGGCAACAAGTTTTTGATCTGGAATATTAGAGAGTATTGAAATTTTTCACACTGATCTACCTTAAAATGGTTTACATTGATTTAGTTCATCAAATAAACCATACTCGAATTTTTTCTGTGATCATTTTTCAGGAAAATAAATCTAATTCAAATTTGTTTGTTTCTTGATGGACATATGTAAAGATATAAAAACATTTCTGAAATAGGTAAGAAAGTCATGTGAGTGGACACACCAGGTTTTTTTTGTTTACGCATCTGGTTTTAAAATTTTGGATTGAAAATATTTTAGTTTTCTTTATCTTTTTTTACTGAACCATAAACATGTTAAGTGTCTATTTAGATATGTGTATGTATTTATTTTTTGACTGATTTTCAGTTTTGATTTGGAAAAAAAAGGATGTAGTATCTTACAGCTATTACAGCTAATTAATGGTTTGAATAATCTCAAGTATTTTTTAAAAATTGATCCATGACAATTTTGCACTAATCACAGTATTCCATGGCCTCGGTGAAATTTCGATAGAGGAGGAAATTATCTTCTATAGCCGGAATCTCAACTCTTGCATAATAAGAAAAAAATATTTTTTTTATGATTAGGAGGGTAGACATCTGTACACCCAACGGCGAACCAACCCCCATTTTCCAATTTAACCAAAATTTCATTTAATTGCGCTACTCGTTGCTTAAATTGTATAACTGTAATTTACATGTATTCTGTAGTTCAGATTGTATTATTTTTTATCAACATAAAATAAACTGAACGAAATTACATTGAGACAAATATTTAATTTCTTCAAAAATCTATATTATACATCGCGCCTAATTGCCAATTTATATTATTATATAATTATAACTATTCTTATTGACAAATTTTAACCATAATATACATTCAACTAGAACAACTTCATATAAGCCCAACAATAATTTGAGCTTTTTATTTCTAATATTTTCATTGTATGTTATATTTTGCTTTCTTTTCTATTACATAATAATTATAATAATGTCACAACACAATATAAATAATATTATATATAATGTAATAATAAATATATTGTTTTCAAGGAGAAATGTATAGTTTGAAAAATAATTGGATACAATCCCCTGTTCAAAGTTTCTGTATAAAATGTTTATTTTGTATTAGGAAAGTAAGAGATTACAGCAGCTGAACAGATATGTTGTACCAGAAGGTTACAAGAGTTCAACACATATGTAAAATAAAATAAAATATGACATACACTAAAAACTTTTTTATACAATAGAGAGAATTATAAATTAATTCGAATAAAAAAATGGCATTTGATATTATAAAAATTAGAGATAGAGACGAGGGAGATTGCCACATGAAAAAGTTTTAAGGGTTTCCTTCTATACCGGAAATAATATGATGACCGAAGAAGTGACCGGAAAATAGAGAAGCAATTTCTCCATGCTCCTCTTATTGTTTTCGTTCAAGATC